GTAAAGGCCCTTTTACTCTCGCCGGCCTAGTTTCGAAGTCCTCTGAGAATCATTCACCTATCAAGGATATGAACCCCTCTCCTTGCGCTTTCGTATGCAGACACAATATGAGGTGCAGAATCTAACAGTTCTTCCCTTGTAAACCAGCGATCCTCACTAGGATCCTGGTATGCAAACCTCACCTTATACTGTCGCAGTGGCCTGCCTCTACGTCCAGTGTGGTAAGTACTTTCTGCAACAACTTTATCCACGTCATACTTCCCATCCATACTCGGAGGTATCGCTGATCGACGACTTGGGAAGAGCTCATTTGTTACACAAGGTAAGAGCTCGGATGCATGGAACACTGGATACGTACGTAGATGTGGAGGAATCTCAATGACATAAGATAACCATCCACATCTCCAATTACATCTAAAACCTGCCAAGGTCCTCTGTAGGTGGGTAGAAGCTTATGAGAGATGTTTTCTTTAGGAGCAAACTCTTTAGACTTCACCCAAACCAAATCTCCCACAGCAAATTGAGACGGGCGTCTGTGTTTATTTGCCTGTTCAATCATCTGATGTTGTGCTTTGAGTATATTTTCTTTTACTTTCTCAATGTCTTCCTGATATTGGACTGCAAATTCACTAGTCCCTATAGGAAGCTTATGTACTTGATCCGAGTTCAATTGATCAATGGGTCTACGTGGACGCCATCCTAAATGTAACTCCATAGGAGTCTTACACGTAGATAAGTGTACAGAGTTAGTATAGGCACTAGCAACTTTAGGTAGATGTTCATCCCAGTCAATCTGATCGGGACGGATGTACATGCGTAAAGTTCGCTGCAAAATCTTGTTCCTCTGCTAAGTCTGGCCATTAGTCTCAGGATGTCTGCCTGATGACATAGTCAACTTAAAGCCATATACATTCATCAGTTGCTGTCATTGTTCACTCGTGAATCTGGTATCTTTGTCACTCACAATAATTAAGGGATGTCCAAAGTCTTTTACCCAATGGTTAAAGAATTCCCGAATAACCAGATCGGTCTTTGCTTGTGAAGGCAAAGCTACAAAAACAACATATTTAGTAAATCTATCCACTATGACCATTACTTGCGTTTTCTCATTTCTGCTTTTTACCTTAGTGTCCATGAAATCTATAGAGACAGTGTCTCCAGGGCCGGTAGGGATAGGCAAGGGCTTAAGTAGCCCAAGGGGGGATTGCGTGGTGCTCTTGTTTCGTTGGCACACTTGACAACCCTGCACATACGCGATACAATCTGCTTTCATTCGAGGCCAGGTGTAGGAACGTAACAAAGTCCCATAGGTCTTCTTCCACCCAAAATGGCCTTCTGTATCATGACATTCCCCCAAGATCATACTTTTGATCTCTTCATTATTGGGTATACACAGCCTATCATTCACATCCGTTCGTTCAAACAATAGACCCTGAGTTACTTTATGATCGGGAAACTCTGTTGGCTTTTCTTGCACTAGCTTAAGCATGGTTCCATAAACAGGATCAGAGGGATATGCAGTCCTAATCTTTTCTTGTAGGTTAGCACCCACATCTAAATAAGTCACAATAGCACCGAAAAAGTCTGATCTACGACTTAGTGCATCGGCAACAACGTTATACTTACCCTTTACTGGCTTCAGCTCAAAGTCAAACATATCAATCTCTGCAGCCCACCTTGTTAGCTTAGGTGTCATTCGAGCTTGCGTTTTGAGCCAGCGAAGTGTTTCATGGTCAGAGTATACTTTAAAATGCCTACCTAGAAGGTAGTGTCGCCAATGATTGAGAGCCTCGCGCAGAGCATACAACTCTCGTTCATACGTTGAAGCGGCCACCTTCTCGTTAGGTAAGCGGCAAGACATAAACTCTACAGGTCTGTACCCATGCCCATCATCTTGCTGAAGTACAACACCTATACCATATTGACTAGCGTCAGTCGTGACCACGAAAAATAAGGAAGGGTCCGCCACTTTAAGAACCGGATAATTGATCAAACACTTCTTCAGACGCTTGAAAGACATAGTGCGGTCTGAATCCCACTTCCAAATTACTTCTTTCTTAAGCAATCGGCGAAGGGGAGCAGCTATTATCGAACTTTCGATAGTAGTTGGCTAACCCAAGGAACGACCGCAACTCAGTCAAGGTGCGGGGGTTCGGCCAATCTCTGATTGCTACTATCTTGGCATCTTCCGGTTTGATTTATTTAGCACAAGTCGAAGGTGCTCAGCATGCTTCTTTTCATTTTTGCTGAAAATCAAAATATCGTCTAGATAAATCACAACAAATTTGTCGAGCCATTCACGAAAGAGTTCGTTCATCGTTCTTTGGAAAGTGGCAGGGGCATTTGTGAGACCAAAGGGCAAAACTATGAACTCATAATGCCCATACCTTGCCCTGAAGGCAGTCTTATGTTGGTCTTCCGGCTCAACCTCAATCTGATGGTAGCCGGATTTTAGATCAATCTTTGAGAATACTTTGCTTCCCTGCACGCGATCCAGCAAATCGTCTTTTCGCGGTAATGGTTCAGCATTCTTTATGGTTATGTCATTTAATCTCCTATAATCTATACACATGCGAACGCCGCCATCCTTTTTAGGCACAAAGAGCACAGGCGCACCATAGGGTGAGGAGCTAGGTTTTATCCAACCATTTTTCAGCAACTCATCGAGGTGGGTTCGCAATTCATCCAATGGAGACAAGCAGAGGGGGTGAACCGTAAAACGGGACGGCACACGCAGAACAAGGGCGAGCCAAAACATATGAAAGCTGGGTGGTCGGGGTGGGGCGGGGGAGAGGATCTTTTACACCACAAAGTCTCGCGAAGGAAAGAGATAAGCACGAAACAATTTGGCGACCAAGAATAAATCGTCGATATCTTTCACTAAGAGCATGAGTGTAAAATGTTTACAAGAGGACGAAGACGTCCCATGAGTAACAGAGCAGCACAACCTCGAAACGAACAAACGCAGCACGACGCAGCAAACGCAACAGGGTGCTGCCGCAGTCTGAGAGGACACAAGGAGAACAATCCGAAACTAAACAAAGGGAGCACAAAGCCGGGATATTCACATCCCATATGTAAGCGTCTACTTAAAAGATACTGCACCACGTGGCTGGGATATTTACATCGGCATCTAAGATTCTACTTCACGTAAGAGTCCGCTGCAACCCTTTAGCTGGTGTTGCGCGGCAAGCAATGAGAACAACCCGAAAACAAACAAAGGCAGCAAGGCGCTGCCGAAAGGCGTACGAGTAGAGATGACAGGTTCCTCGAAATGAAGAACCCTTGAAAAATTGCTACAGCACGACGCTGGGATATTCACATCGACACCTAAGCGTTTACTTGACCAAAACGTCCACTGCAATCTGGTACCTCATCAAAACAACCGCACAGCTCGAACCAGCCGACTGGTAGATCAAGTGGGAATAGATTCGCACTTCTGCTTATGGCATTTACAAAAAAAAACTACATGTATTTTAACAACAGTGGTATCATTCAGAGCCTTGTAGTATGTCCACCGCAATCCTCAGCCGGATGTTTGCAATGTCGCTTCGGGCTATCGGAAATGGTGTCGGACAGCCGCGTGCAAAAAATGAAGCGAAGGCGAGCATAAAAACACTGTAGCTCGACCTGTCCGACTGTTGAGGGACACCACGAACAACCACCTTGGGCTCCTAGAGATCCACTTTCATTTTTGGACCATAATGACAAACCGCTTCGTCGCGGAGGTATTGCATGAAGTTCGCAATCACATCAGAAGAAAAACCGCCATCGTCTTGTAGGAGGGAGTCGTAGTACTCCAACCGTTGTTCTCGGACACACAATAGGGTCCAATGCACTCCATGTTTATGGACATGAATCAAGACCATCTCGTATGAGAAAATATCCACATCTTTTGTCCATCTCGCAAGCCTATCATGTAGATAGCCGCCACAAACGAGCTTGGTATAGAAAAAGAAACTGAAAATGTAAAGAGAGGGACACTTAGGCAACACAGCGTTGGCAATCAAGGACAAGTATGACTCCACCACCTCGTCGAAAAGCCACTCCCCTTGAACAAGAGTTTGAAAACTTTTTCTGCTCAACGGAACAGAACTGACCCCTTTGCGAACCGAGGATACCACCTCGTGGCCGTTGCTGAAATCTCCGCAGACCTTCCACAACATTCTCAAGTCCGTAGCGCTAAGCTCCTCAGTAGGCAACAGAACGCGAAAACATGATGTAGCCCCAGCTGCACAAACACCCACGAACAAGTGTGAGGAGTGATCAAAATCACCGGGGCGAAATGGCTAAGAACCGTCTGCCCTTTTCCCTGAAAAGTTGTGTCCCCGACTGTTGAATGTGTCCTTGGCGATGTACTTAGGACACGGGTCTTTCAAGACACTCCGTTTGGCATCGTCATCAGACCCATCAGACAAAGCAATAACGCTTTCAATAGACGCAGCCAAATGTTTCCGTAAACCTTCGTCCTTATCTATTCTACAAGCCTTTAGAACCGTGACAGCTCTCTGGGAAAGGCGAGGCATCTGGACACTTTTAAACAACCCTACACTTGACGACTTCTTCGGTAAAGCGGCCAATGACCTCCCTGAAAGACATTCCTCGCTCACGGCTTTTATAGGCTTCATGGGCAGGGACATTGACAACCTCACACCTGTAGAACATAAAAAACAACCCACAACCCACAAATTTTTTTTTAACAAGTGGTAAATGGTACATGAGCCCATCACATCAATTTGGACGAACATAGAGCTGGCTAGTGACAGATATGCGAGTGCTCCTATTCACAAATCTTACCGTGCTCGGGAGCCCTTCGAGGGAACTCGCCCTCTTGTCGCACCACTGCGGCAACGTCCACGGACGATTCGAGGTTCTGCATTTGGCCACGGCTGTGTCGCTAACAATCTCGGTGGCAGCTGAGTCGCTAGGCAAGTCGATGGCTTCATGAAGCACAATTTCCCGTCCGGTACTGAGGACAGTCGCTCGATCACCCTGTTCTGCACCGCAACGGCTGGACAGAGAATCATGATCTTTCCGCTCTGGATCCATCTTGATGCTGACGGCCACCTCACCGCCTTCCACGGAGGATTGGAGGTTCTGCATCTCGGCCACGCCTGAGTCGCTAACCAGCTCAGTGGCAGTCGAGTCGTCACCCAACTCCATGGCTTCATGAAGCACCATTCCCCGAGTGGTGCTTAGGACCGACGCTCGACCACCCTGTTGTTCTTCACCGCAACGGGTGGGCGAAGAATCATCATCTTTCCATTGTGGATCCGTCTGGATGCTGACAGTCACCTCACCGCCTTCCACCACGAGTTCTCCGCCTTTCTCATCGCCATGAACCCGAGCTTCCACCGCGGGTTCTTCTTCGCCTTCATTGTCGCCAAGACCGGGAGCGTGCACGAACGTCCACTGACCTCCCTCAAGGATACCCTCTCGCGTCCTGGCCACAGCCGAACGACTGTGCAGAACCTTTTCGGACGTCCCGATCACCAGCGCTCGTGCGTCTAGCCCCTTCACGTCTTCGCTGTCAGTGTCCACGGACGCACCCTTCGAATCATGACGTTCACTCTCACTACCCCCGGTCTCCAACACTTTGCGAGACTGTCAGCGTTGAGTCTCCTCTTCCCGATGTACAACACGCGTTCCCGAAGAGCGCTCCTCTTTCCCAGGACCCGCTGCACTCTTGCTGTCAGCGTCCACTGGCACACCCTCCGAAGTATGATGTTCGTACTCGACACCCCCGGTCTGCAACACTCCTGCAGCGGGCCCCTCCAGCACGTCGCGAGACCGCCAGTCTCGAGTCTCAACACATGAGAACGGAGGCGAGCAGCGCAACCCTGTGTCCAACTGAAGATGCGGGGGGAAGGACGTCACATTTTCTTGGCCTCGCGGAACTGTTGCGTGAGGAACACTTATGGCAGAGGGCGACGTCAGGAATTCCGAATGTATTCGGAGTTTGTGGCTGTAGCCCGAGCCGAGGGAACCGGAGGTCGCACCTTCGCTCCTTCGCAATGCAGGCATCCCACCCTCCAGGCAAAACGAAGACGCGCCCTTTTCCAGGAGCAAGGTGTTGAGCACAGGAGACCTCTGCTGCGCACGGCGGGATGAACTCTCCTCGACAACGACAAACAAACTCCTCGCAGACAAGTGCGAATCTACTCGCACTTGATCAGACCTCAGGGTGGCCTCGTCTGGCATGTCGGAATCTCGACTCCTACGCAGTGGGGGTCAGTTTCCATATACTGTGGACTCTCGGACGTTCTACGCTTTCCGCCCGAGTCCTTCCCGCCCGACCCCTTCCCGCCCGACCCCTTCCCGCCCGACCCCTTCCCGCCCGACCCCTTCCTGCCCGACCCCTTTCCGCCCGAGTCCTTTCCGCCTGGCCCCTTTCCGCCGGACGCCTTCTCTACCGACGATGTCTCGCCCGTCCCCTTTCCGGCAAACTGTGAGCCGTCTCCTCCGCCACCTCCGCCGTCTCCTTCGTCACCTCCTCCACCCCCTCTCGGATGCTGACCGCCCGACGGAGGTTGCGGCATGCGCCAGTCAATGCCACGAGACGATGCCGTTTCGAGTGTGTAGAAAGTCGCTCGAAACTCCAACATGTTGTTGGCGTACAACTCATTTAGCTTTTGTACTGCATACGCAGCGACGTCCGCATTGCTCCTTCCGGGGTTCATAAGACTCAAATGCTCCACCGGAGTTTTTCTCGCCATTCTCTTAAATGCACCCGCTCCCAGTCTCTTCATTCCACTCCACTTGCCATCGGCCTCCTTCATTGCCATGACCCACATTCCATTCTCCACACCAGGTTGGAATATCCTTGGGTGCCAGATGACGTTGTGTCCCCAGACATCCTCCGACGTGAACCGGTGATGCTTGCCGAAGAAGTAGAGTCTGTCATTCCCCCAGGTGTCATGGTCCACAGGGAGCCTGTCACAAGGTTCGTGATCATAGTCTCTCTCTTCCTCCCCGTCATCAGACAATTGGTCGTCGACTGGTTCACGCCGAAACACACGCTTCAAACCGCCAGGGGACGTGCTATATCTCCGAGGGCCACCTTCCTCTTCATCACCAACCTGTCCAACCACCCGAGGAAGTGGCATGGACTCGAAATCGAAGGTTTCAGAGTCGCTCAACTCCTCCACGTCTTCAGTGTCGAAAGGGTCCTCCTCGTCAAACTGCGACTTGGAGTTCTCGAGGGTGAGCAGTTCGGCCAGCGTGAGGTAAACGTGCTCCAGCCTTCTTAGGAAATGCGAGACAGACTCCCTGGGTGCATCGTGGTACCCATTGAGCACACTGAACACTAGGTTTCTCCCTCGACTGTATTCGAGGTCGGTCGCACCAGGAGGTCCGGGTTCGAAAAGGAAGTCCCAAACCTCCGTCCTTTTGTTCCCCGACAATTTCCAATACATGTCACGTTTGGGATCCCAGTTTCGTTCGCCGGTGGTCTGGACAAACTCGCAAGCATTGCGAGTGTCTTCAACGCGTGCCTTCACGAACTCGTGAAGGTAATCGATCATCTTCGCCTCCTTCTCCAACGCGACGACATTCCGACCGGTGTGCAGGAGCTCCCACACGACAGACGCATGCGCCTTCCCAAAGAAAAAAACAGTTTGCCCAGCTTTGCAAAAGTTTTCGAGCAGACCAATTAGATGGGATGGGTTCCGCTCCATCTCCCCGTAAGCAGCTCCACGAGAACTTGTCACGCCGCCGTTCTCCCACATGCTACGAGAGAACATGTCCTCTTTCGCCACATCGAAACACACCACAGCCTGTCCTGATGGGTCCGACGAACAGACAGCTTTCGAGCGGGTCGCCACCGTGTGTTTGGCCGGACTTGGACCATGAGCACGGGAAGCCTTTGTCGGGCTACTGGCCGGGTAGACTGCGAATGTGTTGTCTTCCAGCTTCTCGCCACTAAAAATCACGTACAGGCGGTCACACTCCTCAACCAGCATATTGCCTTCCCGGACAGTGGCATGCTTTTGTGCATTGTGCACCCACTTCCCTATCCTGATGTGATGGACGCTAAGCCTGGCCATGCCTTTCAAGAAACTGAGCTCCCAACGAGAGGGAAAAAAAAACACAAGTGCCCAGTGCGTTGGCGAAAGTGTTTGGAGAACGCCTTGCAAGTTGGCGAAATTGTCTTCTCACCATTCTGTGAGGAGTGTTGGATGACACAAATCGAGGACGTACAAGTTGCACACGTAATGTCGCACAACCTCACGGATCGCAGTGGTATGACTGTGAGCTTGGGAAGGCGGAAAAGCGAAAGGAATAAGGCTGGTCACCCGGTTGAGGTTGGGCCATTTGATGTGCCTCACATCCCCGCTGACCCTGATCGTGTCTCGAACTTCTTCTTCCGTCCGTCGCAAGATGGAACGGACAGACTTTTCGAAATATTTGGGGAACCTGTCATCCTCGTACAATCTCTTCGCGTCGTCGAGGGACTCCTTCTCGTGTGGAAGAGTACGTTTGCAAGTGTTCACGTACTCCACCGCGCCCTGGAAATGCTTTCGCATTTCGACCCACACCTGTTTCGTGAGGCCCTGCGGCCCGAAGTCCTCCATAAGTCGCCCCTCAGTCCGGAAAAAAGGACTCCCAGGGCGCCAAACACGTTCGTCCTCCTCCGTTTCAAGGAACAAGATGTAGTGAAACATACGGAGAATCACACGGTCCACTTTCCTCGTCGCAACCATGTCTTTAATTCCAGGTTTATGCTGACGCTTCAGATGCCTGGTTGCCGATTGCAAGAATACTCCCCTAAGTGCGAGAATGTCGTCGAGGATCGACAGTTTCTCGACATCGATCATGTCGGCAAGACACTGCCAAATAGAACATGTCTGGCTCCTTCACGACCACGAAAAACTTGTCGTCCGCTTGCGTTTTCTTTTTGGTCGGAGGCGGCGGGACCCGGACCAGCCACCCCATCTTCGTTTCACCAGCCGCCCCTTTCCAGCCCATTTCCAGAATTGCTTGCAGACCCGGAGATTTGTCTGGCATGTATTTGCCCGACCTCGATAATGGCGCCTTGCCGTCGCCGCCCAACAACTTCCTCTCCGTCCATTTCACGTAGAACTCCATGACTTTGCGGAAAACGTCATCACCGGCCGTCACGAGTGGCATCCACTGCCTCAATGCATTGCCAACGGCAGCGACATACTCCTTGTCGGTGATCGGCAAATCTTTTTCTGACAACGACTAGTGAGCTCCGTTCGAACTCTTTCCCAAAATCAGTTTTTGGAAATAAAAAAACTTTTGTTTTTCGGCCTCCTTGCCGGAAGGGTTCCCTTGAATGGCCATCGGCCTTCCTTCTTTCTCCCAAGCCTCCCGCATGTCCAAGAACGCGGCCTTCTGCGATCGCTGCTTAGACATCTTGTGTCTCGTGTTCTCGTTGAGACTGACCTGCCTATATCCCGCGAAATCTTGGTCGGAGAACCACACTACTCTTGCCGGCCACGAGTGCATCTTCCACAAGTTGAACATTGGCTCACCCTCCAACTCCTTCACAGCAACCATGGTGTGTTGTCCGTTAACAGGGTAATAGTAGTACTTGTCCTTGTCCTCTGGCTTGAAGACATCTTTGTGAACCCTGTCATCTTTCTCCGGACTACGCGTCACCGGCTTGTAGATGGGTGCCAGAACCGAAGGGTTTTTCGTCCAGATCTTCCCCTTTTCGTATAGGAACTTACTTTGCATCGCAGCCTTGATCTCGTCCACAGTTTTGCGACTAAGACTGCGGTGGTTGTAATATCTTTCCCAAGCCGGGATGTCGCAGACCTTCCTGGGGTCGATGATCAGTTGGACGGGGAGCTCCTTCTCCACGATATCACCGTTCTCGTTCCGCTCGTATTCGAGCTAGAACCCCGGCGCTTCGTCGATCTTCCCACCGACAGGCCGCTCGCCACCGCCCAACGCCTCATTAGTCTTCTGCCTTCAAGGTTTCTTTTGACCATCGCCTTCTTCAGCCACCACTTTCCGTTTCGATTTCCCCGAAGGTTCTCTCGCGGCCTCAACGCCTGGATGAGCCGAATCTCCTCCACCCATGGCTTGTCCTTCGCGGATGGTCAAACTGTCGGGCCTCCTCGCTTTCGAACTTGCCGTCGCACCCTTTTTTTTCGACGGCCTCTTTCCCGACGCACGTTCTCCGACGTCACCTTCATCCCCGCCCATCCCCGCCTCCGATTTTCCTCTCATCCTCTTCATGCGGAGGGTTTCCTCCGCCACCTCCTCTCGCACCATCCTGTGTCGCTCGCGCTTCTTCTCCGAAGAAGTCAGCTCCCCGCAAGATCTTTCGCGGACAGCGCCTATCCCTTCAACCGCAATCCCTCCGACATCTTGCCCCGATCTGCCGGTTTCTTTTCGCGTCTCATCTCGAAGAGAATACGTGTCGCCCTGGCAGCGGACCTTGAGGAGTTTCGGAGTACCGACCCGTTGAGTACCTGTACCCTGATAATGCAAGTCCGACGTGTCCACAGGACCATCCGGGCCGACCTGCGTGCGAACGCTGCGCGCGAGCCCCTTGACCAGACCCCCAGCGTCGTGAATAGCACTCCCGCGCCCCACTGCCGTCCATGGAGTTTCTTGAGCCAAGCCGGACGACCCCTCATGGGGTGGCAGAAGCTGAAAAACATGTTCTCGCGGAAGAACCGGACGTCCTTTCGGCACTATCAGCGCGAGATCGAGATATTGCTCTGGTGATGGAAGACGCTTGCTGCCCCCGTCGTAAAGGCCTTTGAAGTGAGAGCACAATGTCATGTTCGAGCCGTACCCCGCGAAACTCTTAATGGTCACCATAACACCCTTAACACCTCCGACAGGCTGTCTGCACTCGTCGTACAAGCCGTTAGTGTGCAGCTTGAGGTAACCTCCAGAAGCCTTGGTGCACGAGACGATGGCACCGAGAGGAAAAACGTTGACTGCTCCCCCACTGTCTGGAACGCAAGTGGGTCGCATGAAAACAGCTGGCCCAAAAAGGTCCCCCCGAACAACGAAGTCAAAAAACCATGGTGCATCCATTGTGTGCATATACTGAGCAGTAGATTCCTTAAGAGGTCGTCCCCCCCCGGGGGCAGATGGTCAGCGCTCGTGGATGTGTTCTTTGCGGACGCCATTGTACTCCCGACCGTTGACTAACACACCCATCCTCAGACCAAGTCGGATGACTGATACACCCAACCTCAAACCACTAAAGGAGCAAAGTGCGAACTAACTCGGACTTGACGAAACGGAGGACGAAAACGATGCAAGAGATGGGTGTTCGAAATGCACACGAAGTCACCACAATCAGGTAAAGGAGAGAAAAAACAGCAGTCCTCTGTCAGAGTGAGTTCGGAAGGAAGACAACAGCTCCACGGAGAGAGTGCGAACGAGAGGTGATTTATCTTCAGGAAAGTGCGAACTAACTCGGAGTTATGGGAATGAAGTCGTCTACAACAAGTACCGCATGGGTATCGACAAGGGGGAACCGAAGAATGAGATTGGTGTTTGAAATACAAATGAACACAAAACAATTGGGTGGCTGGCAGAGTGAGTTCGGAGGGAAGACGACAACTCTTCGGAAAGATTGCGACCCGACTCGCTGCCCTCGAAACGAGTAAGATGTGGTTTATCGACAAGTGCGAAGGGTGTCGACAAGTGCGAACTAACTCGCAGTTCTGTAGACAAGACAACAATGGCAACCCACAGTACTAGGAGAAAGTGCGAACTAACTTGGAATTGTGGAACTGAAGACCTGAAAGACGCACGAAACGAGTAAGATGTGGTTTATCGACAAGTGCGAAGGGTGTCGACAAGTGCGAACTAACTCGCAGTTCTGCTCACAGGACAACAATTGCAAGCCGAAGTGGAAGGGGAAAGTACGAACTAACTCAGAATTATGGAACTGAAGACCTGAAAGATGCACGAGATGGGTTATCAACTCCTCCAGCAGTGTTGCTCAAAAAGTGCGAACTGACTCGCATTTGTGGAAATAAAGAACTGCGAATTAACTCGCAGTTGTCACTCCTCAAACAATGTACGTCGCAAACTGGGAACTGACTCGCAATATATCTCTACATATATATATATGTATCTATATCTATATATATATATATATGTAGACATCAGGTCGGCGACCTCACAAGGGACAATTGAGCGAAAATCGGGAATTGATTCGGTGTTCAGTGTAGAAACTAGGTATTGATTCGGGGTTCACCATGCGCAGTGACAACTACAAGTTGCGGAGGGGATCGAGCAGCTTTATACAAACGTTATCGTGGCTATGGCGAAAGGTAATCGAGCTGGGGAAACGGAGGTGGAGGGTGGAGAAAAGACATCAGAGCACGTCCACTGGTGAAACAACAAAACCGGAAATTGATTCGGGGTTCAACAGAACGCGGCTGCGGCGTTATATCCTTCGTCGTGCGTTGAGCGAGCGACCAACGTCGGACGGATATGGATGTGCGACCACCGAACCAGCTATGGTGGAGGGATATCGAGCTAGGAAGAGCGAAGAGCGAACCGAACACAATGTGGCAACTGCGGAAGGAGCGAAGAGCGAAGAGTGAGCGGGCTATGGCGGAAGGTGGGGGGGGCTGAAGACCAAATATTAGAACGCGTGCGGAAGCGATAGCGCGACTTGATCTGTGGAGCGACAACAAAAGGGATAACTCGAGGGCTGCAACGCCTTTTATACTTTGCTGCAGTAGGCCTCACGTCGGGATCAAGGTGGGGCCAAATCGATTCGCATATCGCACCCCTGGGCCCATAAAACGCCATCAAGGTGGGGCCGAATCGATTCACATATCGCACCCCTGGGCCCATAAAACGCC